ATGGGCTGGGGATATGGTTCTGCGTTACCTGCGGATGTTTTGCGGCCCAACAGTTGGCCCAACTCGGAAGGAGGTGCGAAGGCAGGCCTGCAGGTAATCGTGTAGATTATCTTATGAATATTGAGCGGGGGATCTGGCCCAAAGCTTACAGTAAAGCTGAGAAGGCCAGAAGAGCGGCCATATACGTAACCGACATAGTCGCAATATCCGTAACTCCGTAACTCCTCCCTTCTCCCTCCTCCCTCCTCCCTCCACCCTCCTCCATCCTCCATCCTCCCTCCTCCCTCAATCAGCCTTGAGCCAAGACGAGGCCGGGACGTGGACAAAATCGGGCCAGGGCCACGCGGGGATCTCTCAGATCCGGCGGTTCTGGAGGATGCATCTCGGCTGCGCAGAAGAGCGACCCTAGGCGATGAAGAATTTTGGTGCGCGGCTTTCGGGGGGCGCGGGGGGACCAAACCCAAGCGGCCATACCGCCGCTATCACATCGCATTCAGCGATCGGGGTACTCCAATGGGCAGTGGGCCAGCATCAAAGGCAACTCTGGCGAAGGATCACTCTTACGAGGAATCGAGTCTCGGACGCCGCGGCCGTTCCTGAGCGTTCCGGAACGCTCTGGAACGGTTGATCCCGGTCCTAGCCCAACCCGGTGGACGGCCGAGCGTACTCCGAACCCCGTTCCTTCCTAGGTTTCCTGCCGCGCCGACGCCAGCGCTGGCCTCTGCCACCGCGTGGACCGCTCAACCTTGAACAGTCGATCGATGGTTATGGCTATGATCGTTCGATCTCGACCGATTCCATACTACTGGCGGCGTTCACTCTGCGCTGCCCGAGGACGGACCGTCCTGGCACTCCTACAGGCCTACAACGCCGTACTTCTTTATTGGAAAGAGAGGATATATCTAGAGGAACATCCACATTCTTATGATATCACATGTATGTGCTAAACCAAGACGGTCTCAACCAGAAGGGGCAATCCATAATATGTCGTGCAAAGCCCGAAGGCTTCTTAGAACATTCCTTGGCGCGCCGAAGGGCAAGGCAGAACACCTCGCTACTGCTTGCAACCTGAAATTTGGACGCCCGGAATGAAGACGACGAACAGGGTACAATGCCCAACAACAAGTGTTGTCCAAAACCGAGAACGGCCGTTGTGGACCTTCACGGCGGCGTGGACAGCGTGTCCTGTCAAAATGAGCAGGAGCTGCTGTTGGGTATTGTACCTGGTATGTCCATACCCATCTCGATCGTCCCAAGAAGCTCGGGGATCTACTGACCCGGGTCAATCCAAACCCTGCTCAATCAGGCCTTGCAAGATCCTGCAAGATCCTGCAGGATCCTGCACCCAAGTCCGGGTCAATGCCACCATGGCCCTGCAGGATCCTGGAAGATCCGGCGCTCTGGCTGACCCCCGTTCGCATTGACCCCCATCTCAAGGCTCCCGAGGAGGAGGAGGAGGAGGAGTAGGAGGGGGAGGAGTAGGAGGAGGAGGAGGAGGAGGGGAGGAGGGGGAGGAGGGGATGGAGAGGAGGAGGAGGAGGAGGAGGAGGAGGAGGAGGGAGGAGGAGGGGGAGGAGGAGGGGAAGGGGGAGGAGGGGATGGAGAGGAGGAGGAGGAGGAACAGGAGGAAGGGGTGGAAGAGGAGGAGGAACAGGAGGAGGCCGCTGCCAGGCTGGCGGCGGCTGGCTGGCCGCCGCGGCTCCGGCCCGCGCGCGGACCGCTCGGCCCGCCCGCGCGCCCTCGGCCGGAGGGCGGCGGCAGGGCTGCGGCGCGCGGGGCGGGCCCGCGCAGAGGCGGCGCCGCTCGAGCTCGAAGGCGGTCGTCGTCGTCGTCGTCGTCGTCGTCGTCGTCGTCGTCGTCGTCGTCGTCGTCGTCGTTTTCGTCATTTTCGTCGTCGTCGCTTTTGGGACAAGGGGGGGGGGGGGGGGCGTTCTCGGGACCCCTCGAACAGGTTCCCCGGGAGGCGGGGCTCGGAACCTCTTCGAATCTTTATTGCCCCAGGGATATGGAGAATTCGGGACCCCTCCGAGTGATTTTCCTGGTGGGGGATTGTGAAGGGGCCCTGGGACACATAAATAAATACACACAAATAAAAGGATTCCCTCAATTTCCCCAGATTTATTCGGTTGTTGTCTTCCTCTTCCCCCCACTTCCCATCTTTTCCCATGTTTTTCTGGGGGAATCGACGATGACCTGCGCATGTGTTGTTTCCCTTTGTCAGCAACATCAAAGACCCCTCTGCCATAAGTAGCGTTTTTCGTCGTCGTCGTCGCCGCCGCCCACGGGCCCCACCGCACGTGGCGCGGCGGCTGGCCTGAGATCTCGCCGAACCATTCGCCGTTGCGCACCCTGTCGACCTGTGCGGCCGCAGGGCAGGGTGGACTGCCCGCCGCTGTCGCTGTCGCCCTCCTCGTCTTCCTCCGTGGTCCTCACTGTTCATCCTCCTCCTCTTTTTCCTCCTCCTCCTCCTCCTCCTCCTCGTCCTCCTCGTCCTCCTCCTGGCCTAGTTCGTTCATGTTTGCCTCCCTCTGCGTCTTCCTCCTCCTCCTCCTCCTCCTCCTCCTCGTCTTTGGCTTGCTCGTCGATCCTCGCCCTTGTCCGCGCCCTCCTTTTCGACTTCCTCGGCCCTTCGCTGTCCTCATCGGCCCCGGCCTCCCCTCCACGCCCCGTCTCCCTCCCTTCCTCCTCCCTTTTCTTCCGCGTCCTGGTATGGGGAGGAACCCAATCATCCGACGATGTGATATCTGCAATCCACGGGCTCAGAACTCCTGACCATTTGTCTGGGGGCAGCCTTCCGTCCCAGATGAATTTTTGATAGCTCAAATATCCACAACACATACCCCTCGATACCGCAGTTGAAGGAGAACCGCCGGGATTAGCAAACCACATGGGAAATCGGGGCAGGGAGGACGTACAGCAAATTCGTGTTGTGACGATTTCCGCGCTGGTTTTGCACGCCACATGGGTCGCTGAACCTCGAACGGATTGCTTCACCGCGAGCGATCGTGGATCCTCTGGCAGCCGAGGATCTTTTTCCAGCCCTGGCCAGGCGTTGTCCGCTCACTGTCCTCAGCCTTGAACGACCGCGCCGGGGTGGCCGCCGCGCCACCGACAGGCACGAATCTGCCGCAGCGTCAGGTTGTGACCGACCAAGAAATACTCCAGATTCCATGATAAAGTGGGGGGGTCATATTTTGGGGGGTCTGATCTGAGCTGCTTGGGAGGATCCGGGGGGGTCTGGACAAATGTGACCGCCCTTTCATGGATGGTCTGGGGGGGGCCTAAAACTTCTCGTCTGGGAGGGTTGTGAACCCCTCCCTTTTATCACGACATCTGGAGTACATGAAAGCAACAAGGGCTCCCAACTTCGCGCTTCGCGCTGCGCGAAGCGCGAATAACTTCGCGCTCTCGCGCCGCCTCCCAGGGGAGAAGAGGAGGAGGAGAGGAGGAGGAATGGGAGCCGAACCGAGAAGCGCGAAGCGCGAATAACTTCGCGCCCTCGAGGGCGCCCTTGAAGCAAGCAGGGCGCGTGAAACGAACATGTCTTCACTGCTCGGGCGAGTCACCGGGGGGGGGGGGGCGCCCGCCAGACGGAGCCGCACCACGGCGGGCGCGGCGCCTGGCGCCGACGCCGCGCCGCCATCGAGGCGGCGACGGGGGGAGCAGCGCCTTCGCCGCAGCGGGGCGCTCGGGACAAGAGGGCCAAGGATTCGGGGGGCGCGGGAGGAGGGAGGGGGGGGGACAGGAGGAGGAGGAGGAGGAGGAGGAGGAGGAGGAGGAGGAAGAGGAGGAGGAGGAGGAGGTGGAGGAGGAGGACGACGACGACGACGACGACGACAACGAGAGAGGGGGGGGGCGGCAGAGACAGGTGCCGTTGCCGCCGTTGCCGTCGCCCTCCCCGCCGCCGCAGTTGGGCGGACGGCCAGGCCAGACATGCAAACGAAACCAGGGCCTCGACGAAACCTGGGGCTCCGCGCGGCGCGCGCACACAAATCCAATGCAGCGGGCAGCGCGCACAGCAGGGCCCGCGAACGAGCGAAACCGCTTGCGCTTGGGCCAAGGCACATACGGCGGAGGCCGGTCCACAAGCAACCTCCCACAGGAAGCCCCAACCCTGAGACCACAGGGCGTCCCCTGATCTCTGGTCCGGGGACGTCGCGCTCGCAGGGGCGAAGCCATCGAGGCCCAAGAGACCCAGGGAACCCTGGGAGTCTCTCGGACCAGGTGGCGCCGTGGCGTTGCGGTACTAGACCTCCGCGACAGGTGGTGAGCTGTCCCCCAGCCATCCCTGAGTGGGAGGTGCCGCTAAAGAGGCAGTGCCCGCGGCCTCACCAGATTGCTTACCCAAGCCACCACCACCACCTGGCGGCAAGCAGGGCGTCTCTTGGCATGGGCCTCCACGGCACTCCTGCGCGCAGCACTCCCACCCGCACGGCGCTGCACTGCGCGGGAACCGCTCCACCTCGGAGCCGGCGCGTCCTTCTGGCCGTCCGTCCTCAGCCACGGCGCGGGGGGCACCCCGAGCCGTCTGGGCCCTGGCGCGCGTCATCAAAGAAAAAGCTCGCGCCCCGCGGGGTCAATGCGTCAGCCTCGGGGAGGGGTCCATCGTTCGTGAATCACCGGCTGACATTCTGGAGAGCGCGCGGGCAAGGCACTTGCTGCGTCCCGAGGACACCGCCACTTCCAGCACCGGCCCTGACAAGGCCCTGGAGGCCCAAACAGTGACGCGCGCACTGGGAAAAGGCACGGGCTTGACAGCGCCACAAGAGCCACGTGCCCAGAGTTCCGACGCATTGTTTTTCCCAACCCCCCTCTTCCCAGAGCCAGCTTCCCATCCCTCTCCCCAGGAGCCAACTTCTCACCCCGCATCGTTTTTGTTGACGGCCTCCGAGCACTCAGAGCATCCCCCGTGGGGACGTGTCCGCACGCTGGACGTGGAGGCCTCCTGGGGTTTGGGTCCGAGCAGATGAGTCGGCGGCACGACCGGGGGGAACTGAGAAGGAGAAGGTCTTCTCGGAAATCGACGGGGCTTCTTAGAAGCCCTCGTGCTTTGTGAGAAACTTTCCGTTTCTCCTGGTGCGGCTTCGAAAACTTCTCAGAAGGCTGGAGGACTTCCGAGCCTTCTGATAAGACCCGCCTCTCCCCCCGGGCTCGCCGTCGAGTCGGGGATCGCGCCGCATCGCCGATGCATCGCCGGCACCTCGGCGTGCCGCGTCGCCGACGGTGCGGCGCGACCCTCTGATTAGCCCCACCAGCTCTGACCCCATCCTGCTGGGTTCACGCTGACATGGATTAGGGGTCCGCATATCTGGCGGGTGGGCGCCAGATCCGCGGATCGGGAAAGGTATGTGCCCCACGAAACGTGGCGCCAACGCGGCCAGCCCCCGCGCCCGTGTCCAAATTTGCGCTTCTCTGAACCTGAGCGACTCGGACGAATCGGGGGAGGGCCAGTGGAGACGACGGCGACTCTCCCGCCCAGCGCAAGTCCGCGCTCAAAATTGGTCCGCGGACACCTGCCCGGATCCATCCCGTCCCGTCCCGTCCCGTCCATCGAGGCGGATTCAGCCCCCAGCGGGCCCAGAACGGACGGACAGCGCAACACGCAGAAATCGTCTGTGCGCCACCGCCGTGCCTGGCCCTATAGTGGGCCCCGGAAACGGCAGGGCCGTTGTTTCACCGTGTTCGACAAAAATGTCCGTTGAAAATGGGAACTTCAAAAAAACGGCGACCGGAAACGGCAACAAAAACGGCTGCAAGATTGGAACCGGAAAAAGAACCCGTAACAACAACGGCGACGGAACCGGTAAAAAACGCCGTCGGAGCCGACAACAAAACGGCAAAACGGAACCAGTAAAAAAAACGGCCCTGTCGTTTCCAGGGCCCACTAAGGCCTGGCCTGGGCCATCCGGGGCCTGGCACGGTGTGGTACAGCAGGGGCCCGACCACAAGAAACCTCCCATAAGAAACCCAACCCTGGGACCCCAGGACGTCCCTTGGATTTTGGTGTGGGAGCGTCGCGCTTTCCACAGCAAAACCATCGAGACCCAAGAGACCCAGGGCAGCCTGGAGGCAAGCAGGATGTTGTCTTGGCTTGCGCCCCCAGTGCACGCCCCCTGGCCAGGGCCAGGAAGGCCTAGAAACACCGCCCGTGGGGCCGAGGATGGCCCTGGCCAGGCACGGAAGGGGGGGGGGCTTCTGGTGAACAGCAGGCGTTGAAAAGGAGGGAGGTGGCACGAGGGAGGCGGAAAGAGGAGGGGGAGGCAGGAGGGAGGACGAGGTGGTGGGGGGCAAGAGCCTGCAGAGGAGGAGGGTGGTGAGGAGGAGGCGGAGGAGGCGGAGGAGGAGGCAGAGGAGGAGCGGAGGAGGAGCACTGACGTCCGCGAGCGGGGAGAGGAGGCGGAGGACCTTGGCCAGAGGGCAGGGCCGCCGTTGTCTCGATTGGCCATCCTCCCAGTGACGCCTGGGCTCGCGCGGCGATTGGGCGCCGCTTGACGGGGAGGCGATACCTTGGAGGGGGGAAAGAGAGGTGCATCTCTCGGGCCCTGAAGAACGCCTTCTAGAGGCCATGTAGGGCCCCGTGGGTGGCCCGCCCGACAGGCACCCTTTTGGACACTATAGAGGTCCTACAGGGCCCCTTTGCCACTGGAGGGGCCCCCAAGGGGGGGGGGGGGGGGGGGGGGTTTTTGGGGCCCTCAGTTGGGCCCTCCAACGGCCCCTTTGGGTCCTCTTTTGGGCCCTCAGTTGGGCCCTGACATAAGCCCCCAGTTGGGCCCTCAAACGGCCCCTTTGCGGGCCCTGAAGGGCTCATGTTCTGCAGCCCTCGCCGTCCCCCCAATTATGCAGGCCCTCCAATGGGGGAATCTCCTGACCCGGGTCAAGCCAGACCCGTGTCAGTCCTGGCCCTGCAAGATCCTGCAGGCTGTGGCGCTCTGGCTGACCCCCGTTTGCCCCGACCCGTCAAGACGGAGTCCCCCAGAATCGGGCCAGACGAGAGGGGGGGGGGATGGGGAAAGGGGGGGCTTACGAAATCTCCTGCACGCAGCTGGCCTCAGCCCCGCCGAGGGGCCCATTCCTCGATGCATGGCCGCCTCCGGCGCCGGGAGGCGGGAGGCGCCGGGAAACTCAGCTGCGGGAGCTGATTCTCAACCCCCCCGTTGCCATTCCCCCCCTTTCGCCCGGCCCGACAGACGTCCCCACCCTCTGCCCCTTCTCGTCCCCGGTGGCGCTCCGCGGCGCTCCCCAAGGGGCCCCGGCGGGGGAGCCCCGAGAGGCCGAGGGCGGCCCTGCTATAGGCCCTCCGCCGCGGCGTGCTCCCCGCGCGGACCTCCGGGGCTCCCGCCCTCCGCCGCGGCGTGCTCCCCGCGCGGACCTCCCCGCGCGGACCTCGGGCTCCGGGGCTCCCCGCGCGGACCTCCCAGCCCGACCTCCGGGGCTCCCCGCGAAGACCTCGGGCTCCCGCCCCCCCCGCCCCCCAGGCGCCGAACCTCGAGCGGCGGCGGCGGCGGCGGGCGACGCCGCCCGTTGCACGACGCCCACGGCGAAGGCCGCCCCTCGTCTCTGGCAGCCGCGCCGGCGGGGGGGGCGCGAGGGGGCCTCCTTGGCGCCCTCGAGCTTCCCCGACGGCAGCACCCTTCCGCCGTTGCAGACGAGCAGCTCCCCCCTCGGGCTTGGGGGGCAGAGGGCGGGGGGCAGGGAGTCTCCTCCTCCTCCTCCTTCTCCTCCTCCTCCTCCTCCTCCTCCTCCTCCTCCTCCTCCTCCTCTACCTCCTCCTCCTCCTCCTCCTCCTCCTCCTCCTCCTCCTCCTCCTCCTCCTCCTCCTCCTCCTCCTCCTCTCTATCTCCTCCTCGCCGTGGGACAATCTCTCTCCTGGTCTGGGGCAGCCTCTTTGTCACTGTCCCCTCTGCTGGGAGGGAGGGGAGGGGGTGGGCGGGGGCCCCGTGCGGGAGTGGCATGCGGGGCACTCCACGGGGAGAACGTGAGCATGCGGGAGGGGGAAGGGGAAGGGAGGGTGGGAGAGGGGGAGGGGGGATGGTGCTCTATTCCTCCGGGGACCTCGTGTGCCAGGCCGTGCCTCACGCAATGCTTCGGGGGGCTCCTACCAAACAGTCAACCCCGGGTGCTGCCAGGCCTTCGCCACGGAGCGGAGGGGGGCGGCGATGGATGGTGCGGGACGATGGCGTGGTGAGGGATGGTGAGGGAGGGCGGGGACGATGGGATGGAGAGGGCGCGTGGGAGGGTGGATGGTGACCCGTGGACTGTGACCGACTGGGCTGGTTTTTCGCGTGTGCGCGGCGCTCCTCCCTTCTGCGGGCGCCTCCGAACTGCTCGCAGCCAGAAAGGCCCCGCGGGTGGCGCCCAGAGGCATGGCCGTGGGGGAACGCGGCTGCCTGTTGGCAGTGAGGGCCTGTGGGCATGGTGCGGAGGAACAGGTCCTGAAGGGTCGACGACGGGGCAGTGGAAGAGGATAGTGGATGGTTGGAAACAGGAGGAGGAGGAGGAGGAGGAGGAGGAGGAGGAGGAGAAGGATGAGGAGGAGAGATGATGGGTGGAGTAAGGAGAGGAGGCCCGAGGAGAGGGTGACCAGGAACTGGAGGAGTATGAGGAGGAGGACACATACGGAGGTACTAGGGGGAGTGGGGGGAGGGACAGGAGGGAAACAGGCGGGATGGTGGAGGACGAGGTGGAGAAACAGACATGACGAGCAGAAGGGGAAGAATGCGGCGGAGGACAGGGATGAAATACAAGGGATGGGGAAACAGACGGAGGATGGCAAAAAGAAGGGGGAGAACGAAGAGTAACATGAAGACGGGCGCCCTCGTGGAGAGGCCCACAGGAGCCCCCCAGAAGACCCCCCAGGAAAGCCCCAGGAGCTTCGCGACCCAGGCACGGTGCCGGGATGGGCCGACGGCCACCGGGCCGTGAGGATGGCCACCCCTCGCGCCGAGGAGCCACTCTCTCTGCCTGCCTGAGCTGTTCCCCACGGGATTCCACACTGCCCGGGGAAATAAGAGGTTCAATAGCTTGGCCAGGCTCTAGCCCACCGACACCGATTGGCCAGCTCGGCGGTTACAGGACGTAGAAGAAGTCACACCTGCGGAGGTCCGCGTGGGATTTCCCTGCATTGGCGCTGGCGCCTCCGGCGACGCCGCTGGCGCGCTCCGCGCGCCAGGAGAGGGGCGTCCGACACCGAGCCAAGACATCCGCGTGGACCTCCGAGCGCTTGTGCTTATGCCGCTCCTCTACTTATTCGTCTTCTTCCCCTCCGCCCGTCTACGTCTTCGTCAGTGACAGGCACGAGAAACCTGCAACAAGAAACCCAACCCTGAGATCCCAGGACGTCCATTGTGATGGGCCTGTTTCCACCACCACCACCAGAAGTTGCAGGTGGAGGGGGTCCTCCTCCACCTCCTCCTCCTCCCCCTCCTCCTCCTCCACTTCGTCCTCCTCCTCCTCCTCCTCGTCCTCCACCTCCTTCACCCCGTCCAACTTATGGTGGCGGTGGAAAACAAGCCCATCACAGTGATTCTTCGTGTGGAAACGTCACGCTCTCCGTAGCGAAACCATCGAGACCCAAGCAGCCCAGGGCACCCTGGAGGCAGGCAAGGGTGTTCCTGGGCATGGGCCTCCACTGCACCTTGCCGACAGAGCGCAGTGGGCCCCCGGGACATCGAGCCCCCGCGTCGGCGACGAAGGAAGGACGCGCTCCCCTGGAGCCCCTCCCCCTCTCGGCTCGCGGGGGGACGCACGGGCAGGACAGCTCAGGGCAGCCGAGAACCAGCTCACGCAGCCGGCTGCCCCGGGCGCCCGATGGCGGCCAGGAGGCGCCCACGCACCGAGGAAGGACGCCTGGCGGCGCGGCGCAGCAAGCTTCGCAAGCACCCCCTACGGGGGACAAGCGCGTTCGACTACTCGCGAAGTAACTACTGGCAAATGGCCTGGACCCGCCGCGGGGGATCCGCGATGACTTACATCGAGGCAGACATGTGTTTTTTGTTCGGACGTTTGCGAGTAGGCACTGTGCGAGTAGTGCAACGCGCTGGGCGATATGGGGAAATCAAGGAGGTACCGATACCGCTGATCCCTGGACCTCTCCCGGGGTGCGCCCCAGGACGCCCAAAGGTGAATGGCAACAGTGTGGGTACCTTGTCCTCCTCTCCCAGTCCTGGGGAGCCTTGACCTCTGTCAGTTTCCCGTTTCGGCTTTCCGTTCGCTGTGGTCGCTGGTCCCAACATTGGTCCCACCTGGTCGTAGCAGTCCCTTCGTTTCGTCGTGTCTGGGCGCTTCTGGCCGCCGGGTTACTCGCCTCCGCGCTGCGTGCCGGAGGAGCGTTGGGCTCCCCTCGCGCGCAAAGGCTCAGCATGCCATGTGCACTCGAGGAACTGGAGCAAATTGTTTTTCCTTTGCATACGGCACGTTCTGACTCGTGTTCCTGACAAGCCCGCCGCCGCCTTCTCCCATCCTGCCCTTATGCTGCTCCCATCGTTCTTAAAGACCACGTACCAGAAATCAATTTCGAGCAGCCCGATACGTATCGAAACAATGTCGCGCGAGTACCGCCTCCCAGGGACCGGCGCGTGAGAGCCGGAAAATTCCCGAACTCTCTTGGTGCTCGAATATCTTTCTGGTGGCCAAGGCTACTTCAGGTTGGAACATCACAGTCCTGCCTCCTCGTCCGGACCGATCGGCGCTGCCCGCGCTCGTGCCGGCAGAGGCGAGCACAGGCCCTCCGCGCTGCCAGGGGCCGCAGAGCCGCGCGGGGGCAGGGTTCGGATATATCTATATATATATATATGTATACATGCACAAGGCTGCATTGGCGCTTCGCGCCATGCACCTTGTTCCTTGAAGCGTTGGAATGGTTGGCCCGTGGTGCCATCCTTTTTTCCATTTTAGCCGCGGTCCGCTGGTTCGTACTTCGGAGAAGCGCAGGAAGAGCAGAAAGGGGGGCAATCAGCCTGGGACGGGCCAAAATTGCGAGTTGGAGGCCGCGGGCGCATGGAATGGCGCACATAAGTGGGGGCCGCGCGGGAAACAACTGGAAAATTGGTTGCGAACCCAGGATTATGAGCATAATGCGGCTATTCTTCCGGGAATGTCAGATGAAGGGGGCGCGGGGCGGCGGAGTGGTGCGATTTCGAAGGCGGCGGGTTTGACGGGCAGGGTGTTGGTCGGCTTGGCTCTTGTGAGCCGTCGGGACCCCCTTTTGAGGGCCGCTGGGCCGCCTTGGAGCGCTGAAGCCCTTCGAGTGGGTTCCCGGGGGTTCTCCCGGAGCCTTGTGGAGCGGTCTGACCGTCTTGGACCGTTTTGGGGCGCGTCTTGGACCGTCTTGGGGCTTTTCAGGACGCTCAGGGAGCCCCTTGGGGCGTTGTGGAGCGGTTTGGGGGGCCTTCTTGGGCGGTCTTGGAACGTGGGAAACCTGAATAAGCGAGGACGCTGAAAACATTGAAAAGCTAATGGGAAAGTAACATGTTTGAATGTTTTTGGAGCCTCACCGAAACGTCTTAGGGGGCCTCCCGAGGCCTTTTGGAGCTCTGTTGGGGCTTCCTTGGGCTGTTTCGGGGCGGGAGGCTCGTATTTTCAGATCGTGGTCCCCCCTAGGGCTCCTCTTTGGGCCGTCTTGGAACGTTCGTGGGCCATCTCGGACGCGTCTTGGACCGTCTTGGGGCTTTCTCAGAGCGCTCTGGGAGCCTCTTGGGCCGTTGTGGGGCGGTTTGGGGAGCTTCTTGGGCGGTCTTGGAGCGTCGGACACCCGAAAAAGCGAGGACGTTGAAAACATTGAAAAACCACAGGAAAAGTAGTAACAATTTGGAATCGTTTTGGAGCCTCACCGGAGCTACTCATGGGGCTTCCAGAGGCCCTGTGGAGCTCTCCTGGGGCCTCCTTGGGCCTTCTCGGGGCGGGAGGCTCGTATTTTCAGTTCGTGGTCCCCCCTGGGGCCCCTTTTTGGGTTGTCTTGGAGCGTTCGTGGGCCATCTCGGGCGCGTCTTGGACCGTCTTGGGGCGCTCTCAGCGCGCTCTGGGAGCTTCTTGGGCCATCGTGGAGCGGTTTTGGGAGCTTCTTGGGCGGTCCAGGAGCGTCGGAAACCCGAAAAAGCGAGGACGCTAAACACATTGGAAAAACCAATGGAAATTCAATGATTTTGTTCTCTCGGGCCCCTTTGAGAACGGTCTTGGGGCTCTCGCGGAGGATCTTCAAGGCCACCCGGGTGCTATCCTGGACTGTCTTGGGTGTCTGTGTGGGCTTGCGCCGACCGATTTGGCACTGCCGCCCGCCTGCGTGCACGCCTTGGAAACGATTTTCGGCCGCCCCCGTGGCACGGATCGGGGGGGTCCCGTTTCGGGGGGGGGGGTCCGCACCCCCGGAATTATAAAAATTTAGAGAAGGGACTATATGTATGTATGTCTGTCTGTCTGTCTGTCTGTCTGTCTGTCTGTCTGTGTGTGCATGTATGTATGTATGTATGTATGTATGTATGTATGTATGTATGTATGTATGTATGTATGTATGTGTGTGTATGTATGTATGTATGTATGTATGTATGTATGTATGTATGTATGTATGTGTGTATGTATGTATGTATGTATGTATGTATGTATGCATGAATGTATGTATGTCTGTATGTATGTATGTCTATGTGTATGAATGTATGTATATATGTATATATGTATATATGTATGTATGTATGTATGTCTGTCTGTCTGTATGTATGCGTGTATGTGTATACTTACATACATACATACAGCCATACATACATACATACATACATACATACAGACAGACAGACAGACAGTCAGACAGACTGACATACATACATACATATACATCGACATCGACATCGACATAGACATAGACATATATACATATACATATATATATATATATATATATATATATATATATATATATCTCGCCACGCCTTCGACGAACTCCGAAGCCCTGCCCCCGCCGCCCTTGGAGCTGTCTGACTCGCTCATCGGCGAGGGGACGGGTTCGGACTTCGCCGACGACCAGTCCCGACCCCCTTCGTCCGGCCCGACTTTGAGCAGGGACCGGCCGTCCCGGCATTTCTATAGGCTTACCCCGACATGTTCGTAGAACCCAGAAATGCTCCAAGAACAAAGACAATGTTCTCAGAACAAACTCCCGATGAGTGAAAGCAAGACAGTCCCAGCCAGAAATGCTCTGAGGACCTTTCGCGGAAACCACAAACGGTCCTTCGAACATTGTTCGGTAGCGCTGCCAGCGCGGCCAGCGCTAGTCGGACCAGCGCTGCCCGCGCTCGTGCCAGCAAGAACTGCGCACGGTCCAGCCGTGCTGCCAGGGGCCGCCTTGGCCGCGGGGGGAGGGTGGCGGCGGGGGGGGCGCGCCTCTTCAGGAAGTACAGGGCGTTGCTCGCCTCGCCCTCGGTCACCACGCGCTGCCCTGCGGCCCGGGCGCCACGCCGGCCGAGAATGTCGCACGGTGGCTTGCACGCCCCCCCCTCTTCTCGCTCGTTTTCTTTGTTGTTTGTTCCTCTCTCTCTGTCTCTCCTCTCCCTCCTCTCCCTCCTCTCTGGCCCCTCTCTCTCATGTTTGCTTGCCTCTCCCTCTCCCTCACTCTCGGGATGTGTATGCAGATGTCGCGCACCCAGAGAGAGAGATAGAGAGAGAGAGAGATAGCCTCCCTCAATTGGGGTGGACGAGAGGGGTCGCAGCAAGGGGGGGCAGATCAACTGCAGACACCTGGTTTACCCCGCTCTTCCAGGCGATGGATGAGGGCCGCGTGTCGGAGTAGGGACGTGGCGGCGAAGCTGGAACCAGCTTCATGCAACAATTGTCGTAACCATTCCCTTTATTACTTCCCCACTTTCGACCGACACGACGTTCTGCCCTGACGATGGGCTAGCTGATAATGAGATCCCGAACAAGTCTGACACATACGGTTACCAAGGAAAAGATGTCATCTGGTGCTGCTGCGACTCATACAAGGACAAATGCACCTAGAGTCACCATCAAGACCGCTGCTACCGCGGCCACCGCTGCTGCTGCTGCCACTGCTATGGCGATGGCCATCGGCACAACCACTGCCATGACTACGACCTCTACTACCTAAAACCAAAGTGCGCACGCACATATTGGCAGTGACGCGTCGGGTCGATTCTGATGCGGTTTGTGGCAAGTAGTTGACGTTCTCAGACAAACCGGGGAATAGCAAGCGGGGCCGTGAGCATTGACATGTTTGAACGCTTGGCGCGAGTCCTCAGACAACTCGCGGCCGCGCGCGATGACAGTTGCTAGGTCTTGGCCCGAGATGGATCCGCCTTTAGGAGTATGACAGTGCGGTTCCTAAACGCGGGTGCTCTTGCTTTCGTTATTTCTTTCTCTCTCTCTCTCTCCCTCTAACCATACCTCTTCGTTTTTAGCTCGGCTATCTGTCACTCTAGATCGCTCTGTATTTGCAATGCCTCCGATGTTTTTTCTCAACCCTCTCCCTCTCGACCACCGTATGCAACATTCAACGCACTTACATTCCGACTAGTACTGCGACTGCCCAATCCCCGTCCAACTCAGTATACTCCAGAATCTCCTCATCCTCATCCCCATTGCTTCCACCTTCCACCTTGTTCCCATCTCCTCCCGCCTCCTCCTCCTCCTCTCGCCTCCTCCTCCTCCTCCTCCTCCTCCTCCTCCTACTCCTCCTCCTCCTCCCCCCTGCTAATCTGCGAACCTCCCAGAGATACCCAAAGCCCCCCCCCCACGCCCCCGAACAAGCACGCAAGAACTTTCACGACTCCAACTGGGCGCCCTGGGAACGCTTAACACCTGAATCTCCTCCGTCTCCGACTCGTCGTCCTCCTGCTCCTGCTTCTGTGTCTCCTCCTCCTCCTCCTCCTCCTCCTCCTCCTCCTCCTCCTCCTCTCCTCCTCCTCCTCCTCCTCCCCTCCTCCTCCTCCTCCTCCTCCTCCTCCTCCTCCTCCTCCTCCTCCTCCTCCTCTCCTCCTCCTCCTCCTCCTCCTCCTCCTCCCTCCTCCCCTCCTCCTCCCCTCCCCTCCCCCCTCCCCCCTTCCGCCTCCGCCTCCTCCCCTTCGTCCGCCTCGTCCTCTTCCGCCTCCGCGCCCGACTCCTCCCCCCGCTCCGTCTCCTCGTCGTGCCTGCCCTGGTCCTCGCCTCCTGCCCGCTACCCCCGGCGTACGTCCCCCCATCCGCCCCCTCCCCCCGCCCCCATCCTTCACCAACTCCGCCGCCCCCGCATCTGTGCTGGGGTACCTACGTCACCTTGGCCACGACCTCGGTGGTACAAATCATTCGACAGTCTCCCCAGACATCATACCCAGGGGGTAATCGAACCTCCATACATACTCACCCCACCAGTCTCACACAGATGCGTGCCGCCGACATGTTGTTGACAACTCCCCCCCAACCGCTTCTTGGGGGGCCACGCACGGGTTCTCAAAACGGGGGCTCCGCTCCTGGTGGCACCCGGGTCTCAGCCTTCCCCGGGGCGACGCCGCGTTCAGGATGCAACCATATTCGGCCTCTGCAGAAACTTGAACACTGGGAGACGCGGCGGCCCCTGGGAGCGGCGCCCACAGACTTGCCAATGAACACACTGTGTGAAGCACGCCACCGAGGGACACGATGCTCTACACATTCCAGCAAACAAATTTCACAGAGGAGCGGGAACACCGTCAAACCATGTGTGAAAGGAGTGGTGGCCAACAAAAAAATACCTCCGCACTCCCCTCACCGCCCTGGACAGATGGCGGCACACACTGATAACACGTACTTCTCCCTGCTGGTGGCCGAGCAAGTGGTACAGACGAACTCTTTGTCGGGCTGGTCTCGCTTGAACGCGTCAAGGAGATGGCATCGCTGCCCCAGGGTCAGCGTCCGCTTGATGTCGGCGTCTACATCTGCTTGCCGATCCTCGAGCCTCCTATTCAAGCGAGGTCGACTTGCTCCTCGAGGTCTGCCTTGACCACGCAGAAGCCTGGCCCATTGGCCCATACGTCCAACGTCAGCCTTACCCCTTGCAACTAATACGTACGAGTTGAGACTCCAAGTTTCTTCACTCACCCCAAAAGTGGCGCAACGACATGGTACCCTTGCTGGCGTGCCCCACGGTTGTGTAGCCATCCTTTCACTTCAACAATGAACTCTCGGCCTTTGAGGCCCTCGACCCCCGTCTCCTCGTCATCGGTCCATATCAATGCTGAACGGATGGTGGCAATCCGCATCGCTCGGATCTGGTAACTCCGTCTTGTGTCCATACTAAATCTCGCCACCGTTGCCTACTGGACAACGTCTGAACACTTCATATTGTCCCTGATGTTCGCCTCCAGCTTCGGTATCTGCCAACCGGGTTTCGGCAACGCTTCCGGTTCAGGCTGAACTTTTAAACACGTGTTATTGTTGGCCGTCGCCATACCCAACGAGTGCACGATCCACAAGGTATGCAGATGGCTGGCGAATGTCGCCCTGCACTTGAAACCACGAGCTGCACGAACACCAAGCGGTATAAAAGCTCGGATCTCTTTGTGCGCGTCTCTCCGACCCATGGTACATCGACATGTGTAAGCCCGCCCGTGCTAAGGTAGACACGTAACGAACCATCATCTCGATCGTCGCGCCTTGCACGTATTCATCAGGCGTGACCACAGGAAGGCCAGTGGCAACATCAAAGACGACTGGAACCCCACCCTATGCACATGAAAATGAAACGGTTGATGTGTCATCCGCTCTCCACTGTGGCTGACCGAAGTGCTAGGCGATTAGTGGCAATGAGCTCTGCCCATGCCAGCATTGTTTGGACTCCATCGTGGTAGGGATGATTGGTGCACATGTCCCCATCATATTGAGTACCACTAGGTCCCTCACGCATGTCCAGGAACAACCTGCCGACATCACCAGACATCTTGAAGCGGCCGCGGTCCAGCGGTATAGCCGCAGGTCCCAGGTGCTGAGGCGCCAGGACGGGAGGGGCGATCGCTCGCTGGTGATGCTGAGGTGGGGCTGGTGTGGCTGTAGTTGCTGGTGGTACTGGTGGCCCCCTTCCGCCCCATACTCTTGGCCATACTATTTCCGCCCCTTCCGCCCCATACTCTTGGTCGCCCCCTTCCGCCCCATACTCTGGCGGAGGTGGAGGTGCAAGTCCCGTGTCGGCCTCTTGCCCATTGTGGTGCGGAAATGCCTGCCCATTGCTTTCCCGTGTCGGCCTCTCGTCCTCCGTGATGCCCGATTCGTTGCGATGCGCTGTTACTTCCTTGATTCTGGAAGTGCTCGGATATGTCGCTTCAACTGCTGTCGCAATCGCCGCCCCACAAATCTCGATGTTGCTGGGGACCTAACTGAGCCGCCTCCTCCTCTCGGGACGGATGGAAAGGGAAGGTAGCAGGGCTGGGGGACAGCGAATCAGCTGCACGTATACGTCTGGCTTTCCTCGCGCATCCCGGCGCTGGAATGGGCCACGTATCGGGGAACGTGTCTGACGACGGAGCTGAGACGAGCTGCCCCCTCTGCAGTCCCTCCTTTCGTCCGAGCAGATCCTCATCCACTTCCAGCCCCCCCCATGACCTGGATGCATCTGGAGGTCCCCAAGAGACCCAGGAGGCATCCAAAGGCCCAAGAGAAGCCATCAACGTACACTTGCCTCCATCCTGTAACCAGGGGGGACAACAACTGATGCCGCTACTCCCTGGACCTCTCCTGGGGTGCGTTCTGATTCGAATTTCGAGAAGAATCCAGCGGTGGCGACGAGGGCTTCCCAGGAGGCCAACAACAAATGTGAAAACGAGACAAACGTAGCGGTATGGGCACCCTTTCCTCCTCCGAGTAACATCGATCCTCCTCCTCCTCCTCCTCCTCCTCACCATGCTCTGTCACGAGTCCTGCGTCCACCGCGTCCATCGAAAAGCTCGAACAGACGACGTCCTGGGAAGCCGGGCCGCTTGCAAAAACCATCCCGTCTCGCGCCGCCCGTTCTATTTGGAGGGGGGGAGGGGGAGGAGAGGGAGAGGGAGGATCAAGATAGAGAGGAAGGGGGAGGCGAGGGAGTGGGAGGGGAAGGAGGGGTGGGGAGAGGGAGAGGGAGAGGGAGAGAGGGGCACGGGAAGAGAGGGAGGCGGAGGGAGCGGAGAGGGAGGAGAGGGAGAGGGCGGGGGAGAAAAGGGAGAGGGAGGACCACGACAGAGGGGCTCAGGGACACACAAGTCTGCCACCGTGCCTGCGCGGAGCGCGCGTGTTGGAATCCTCCACTGGCCCCTATGGGAATGCTTTTATAAGTGTTTTTCTAGGGCCGACGCCCCCCCCCGGCACCGGCGCGTCCCTCGAAAACCGCCCCCCCTGAAATTGCTTCACCGCGCTCTTCTCGGCCTCCAGACAGTCAGGATTGTTTCCAAGACGGCTTCCAAGACAGCCAACACGACAGCAAAGCGGCTCCATGTGGCCCAAGGCAGGTCCACAGCCTCGCAAGAGAGCCTCACGGCGGCTCAAGATACAGTGCGTGCACGGCCGCAAGAAATCCTCGCAAGAAACCCAACCCTGAAAGCCCGCGCGCGAGGTGCACCCCAGGGGAATCCCAGAGCACCCTTACCGCAGCAGCCTCTTCGACGGCTGCGGAAATGCACTGCGCAGCTTGCGGAGTGAAGAAACCCAGGGTACCCTGACGAGAAGTGCATGGTTTCTTGGTGCGCGCCCCCACTGCAGCCCACGAGGGCCTCAAGACGGTCCGAAGGGCTCCAAAGACAGCCCGAGAGAGCTCCAAGAGGCCTCCCTATGGGAGGCAAAAGCAATCGATGGTCCACAGTGCTTGAGGGTCCTTGAGGGACTCGCCTGCTCGGGTTTGCGGCCACCACAGGAGACCCAAGAGGCTTCCAACATGCCTCCAAGATATCTCCAAGACAGCCCAAGAGGCCTTTAAGATGGCCCCAAGTCAGCCCAAGAGGACCCACAGATCGCCAACATGCGCTCAAATAGGGCCCCAAGACGGCAGTGAACCGCTCCAATAAAGCAACACGACGGCCCGAAGATGCCTCCTTGGCTGTCTCTGGCGGTCGGAATCCCTAACATGCCAGGACCTCATAATCATTTAGAACAAAAAACAGGGAACTCAATGGTTTTGGCCTGATCGGGCGTTCCTGGAGGGCCTCTTGGAGACCTCTTAGGCCGTCTTGGGGACCTCTTGTCTGTCTTGGTGCCGTCGTGGGAGACTTCTGGCCTCCAGGACGGCTTCCGAGGCAGCCAAGATGACGCCAAGATGCCCCAACATGGCCCGAGACGGCTCGAGGAGCTCCCAAGACAGCCCCACGACAGATCAAGAGGCCCCCAAGACGGCCCAAGAGGACTCCAAGAGGCCCTCCAGAAAAGCCTGAGGAGGCCAAAGCAAGTGATTTTCCTTTGGTGTTTGGACGGTGCTGAGCTCACCTGTTCGGGTTTTGGACCGCCCAAGACGGCCCAACATACCTTCAAAATGCCCCCAAGACAGCCCAAGAGTCCCCCAAGAAGACCCGAAGCCGGCCCAAAATGATCCAAGTTTCGCCCAAGGGGCTCCCAAGAGGGCCCAAAAACGGCCGTGAACCGCTCCAAGAGGGCACCGACGCGGCCTAGAGATGCCCCCAAGGCGGCCTCCATAGGCGTCAGACGGGCCAAGGAGTCCCCTAAGGCGACCCAAGATGCCCGACGATGCCCCCAAGAAGCTTTCAGAAAGCTCCAAGGAGGCCCGCAGGAAGCCCCACGAACCCTCATGAAGCTGTATTCTCCTTATCCTCATCTTCTCCCTCCTCCTCCTCCTCCTCCTCCTCCTCCTCCTCCTCCTACTCCTCCTCATCCTTCTCCCCCTCCTCCTCCTCCCCCTCCTCCTCCTCCTCCTCCTGGTCCTCCTCCTGGTCCTCCTCCTCGTCGTCCTCCTCCTCCTCCTGCCCCTCCTTCCTACCGCGCGGACGATGACGAGGTCGGGATCACGACCCGCCCCAATGCAGACTGCTCGTCGGCACTGCGCTGTTCCTACACTCAGCCTCCTTCCTGCTGCGCTGTTGCACAGGCACGGTGGCGGGGTTTGCCGCAGGCAGCTGGAGACATGCGTAGACACACACACACACCAAGTTTCCCATATGCTTGCGTCTGTTCTGGATTTCCGACTTGCCGTCCACTTCTCAGATGTCCCAGCGAACCGACGCTTATGTGTGTCTGTGCTTATTTTGGTTGTTCCCTCCATGGAGGAACACGCTCGAGGATCCGCGATCCTCCACTGTGTGCTCGCCCTTCCTCTGCATCCGACGGGCTGCCGCCTGCCCCCGAAGGGGGGGGGTGGGACGCTCCTCGTCGCCTGCGGCGGCGCCCCCCCCGCAGCTCTGAGCGGCACGCCCCCGGCTGGGCGCTCCGGGGGTGGTCCGGACGGTCGACTCTTGAGACGAGGGGCAATGGGGGGCGAGGGAGGTGAGGAGAACGAGGAGGAGGGGTGGAGCAGGGGGTTGGGGGAGGGCGAAGAGGAGGATGAGGAAGAGGAGAAGGATCAGGGGGGCTGTCAGGGGGGGGGGGGGCGACTCCTGAGATGAGGAGGGAGGAGGGGGGGGAGTAAATTAGGAAGAACATCGAGGGAAGGCTCTCTTGACGAAAGCAGCGCACGCCACATGGTAAGGGGTACGGTCAACCAGCAGAAGAAGAATGCGCGTAAGGATGCAAGGGCCTTGGAGGGCCACCGTAGCGTTTCTCGCACGAGGTTTGCCAGCGAGCGTCGCGAAGGATGGGCCGAAGGGGCAAGGATGCAAGGGTACCCCAGATTTCGTAGTAAAGGGAGGTGGGTCTCATTTCGGGGGGGGGTCTCTTCCAGGCTATCTTGGAGGGCCTGGGGGGTCTGGGGACGATGTTTTGGAGGGCTCTCCCACGGGGGAGGTCTGAAATGGCTTGTCTTGGAGGGTCCAGACCCCCTCCTTTTTATTACGAACTCTGGGGTACCTTTGGGAATGTTGCCCATCCTTACTATGCGGGTTGACTGTTGGGCGGGGGGGAGGGGAGCGAGGGCGAGGTCGGAGAGAGGGACGATGATGATACACCCTGCGAAATGCTTAAGACATCATGGGTTCAGAAATTCATAGTCTCAGAACTTGAATACAAACCCACCATTTCTATGAACATCTTAAGATTTACATTGAAACGTTAAGAATAATCGAGACTCTGGCCGAAAACTTAAGTTTTCTTAAGCATCGCCTAAGGTGTGCGCAGGATGAGTACCTCTTATCCTTTGAGAGGGGCCCGAGTAAGGATGGCCGAACACGTCAGGGACAGGGAGGTGCTTTGCAAGTGTATCACAAGAGACCACCACTACGTCCAGGGACATCCGAAACAACTTGGGACCCGAACCAGGTCACAAATTGATGGCGGTATCACGGATACGGATGATGACTCATGAAAAGATGTTCCTTCTGATCCCTCGGCTCACATCCCCCGTCAACACTCGACAGGTTCGCCTTGGTGACGACGGCGGTGTGGCTCCGGACGCCGTGTGCATCGCTCAACCTGGAACGATCGCGGCCTGCCGACAGCGCAGGTCGCCCACACTCGGACGAGGCCAGACCACTCGCGGCGTCCAACCCTGCAACGCCCGCGCGGGGGAGGAGCGAGGCCCCGCGCTCCCAGAAGTGGAGCTTCGATGCCCCATGGAGAACCTCTGAGAAACCCGAGGCAAGCTGTAAGAACAAGCAAGGAGCACCGAGCCCCTCCCCAACGAAAGGGGCTCCTTCTTCGGCGCCCCGACTGTGCTGACCCGGCTCAATTCCGCACCCGGGTCCAGTCAGGCCCTGCAGGATCCCGCAGGATCCTGCGCCCAAGCCCGGGCCAAGGCACCCCTGGCCCTGCAGGATCCTGGAAGATCAGGCGCTCTGGCTGACGTCTCTTGAGCCCCGGCCGAGCGGCTTTCTGGGGGCCCTGAGTGTTGAGACGCAGCCAGGACGAAGATAACATCGGACCAGGATAAATCAGGAATCTCCGAGATCCGGCGGTTATGGAGGATGCATCGGGCGCCGCGGCGTTCTCAAAGCGTTCGGGAACGCTCTGAGAGCGTTCCGGACCGTTCTGGAACGTACTTCTCCGAATCCCAGATCCGAACGATGGTCAGGGACGCACTGACCCGGGTCAGTGCAAGCCCGGGTCAATCAAGCCTTGCAGAATCATCCAGAATCCTGCACATTGTGCATGCGAGCCCGGGTCAATGCAACACTGGCGATGCAAGATCCTGCAAAACTGGGCGGTCTGGCTGACTCCCGTTTGCATTGGCCCCCGCCTCTTACTGCACGATTTAGCATGGAGGAAAATGGTCCTGAGGGACACGGTTCCTGAACCCTGGGGCCTTCCCCCAGAACCAGCTCTTCATCCTGAGTCGTTTTCTGACAATCGCGGGGTCCGTAGGGGGCCTCGGAAAGCCCTCAACGGCGAAAAACTTCAGGACTCGTTTTCCTCAAGACTCTTTTCTCCCATGGCGACCGATCCTTCTGCTAGTTGGAAAACCCGTCGAACAGCCCGTTTGCACTGACCCCCCGACCCAGACACTCGGTTTCTCCAACCCCACCAACTCTCCAGGCGTAGGAGATCTGGAGCGCTTCCTCTGCCAACCTCCTTCTCCCCCTTCTGGGAAGGATTTATCACTGCTTTCTATTAATATACACCCCCTCCCACAGGCGACCGGCAACCAACCAGAAACAGCGCCGACCCGATGTATGATTCTCACCCCCCAGCCGTCCCCGTCAAAGGACAAAACAAAACACACACACTGCCTCCAAATTCGGAGCCTGCGCGGCAACCCCGATGCGGGACCCCCCCAACAGCCCTGTAAAAACCGATACGAAGTACGCTTTGGGGCAAAGTCTCGAGTCATGCTCGTGAGGCCCGCGGGCAGTTTGTCAGTTTTTTGACAGGGGCGGCGGGGGTGTCAGCATACTGCGTGCTGTGCGCAGGGCCACCACCCCTGTCCAGAAGCAAAACAGTTAGATGCACCTGGCGGCTAAATCTGGATCGTGCGCGGCCACCCGTGATCATTGTCGAGTATTTTGTTTACAGATTCCGTGGGGGTGGTGGCGCATGGCCTTCTGTGTGAACGCCCACCGGACACCATGACGTACACTGGTTTTCGACAAGGAATGTGGGGGCCGACATGTTCCCCCAGTCACGTGCACAGGCACAAAGGACACTCCCTGCACGTGCCCCGAACGTGGTGGCGCGGCTGGAGTATGCGGCACACCTGGCGCACGTGGAGCACGTAACGTATCTGGCGCACCAGGAGTGCCTGGCACGCTCGGGCCCCAGGGGATCCTGGCGCGCGTGGCGCGCCTGGCACCCGTGGCGCACCTCGTCCCAGCGTCGCGCACATGGGTTCGGCTTTGATTCCCAGTAACTGTCCATCCAAAGACGGCCGCTGAACCTGCTCAGGCTCGAGTGTTACTTCTGTGTTGCGAGGGCGGGTGGGAGTGAGCCAGACGGCTTGCATCTAGGATGCTGTCTTGACCCCTCCCCCGTACCCCCTCCCCAGGACTTGGAGGGGGGGGGGGTTCGCGAGGGGTTAGAGCGTCCAAGATGACCCAAGACGGCTACAAGAGCGCCTCAGAGAGCCCAAGATGACCTCCAAGATGGCTCAAGATAGTCCAAGATGCCTCAAGATGGATCCCAAGACGCTCCAGAAGGCCCGAATCACGCTCCAAGACGGCTCCAGGTGGCCACGGAGCCCCCCCATGGCCGCCAAGAGGCAAACATCAATCCCGGACCTGGGGAACAAGTTTTGTGTCTTCTTGCCCCCCCGTCCCCGATGGCTCCAAGATGACCTAAGAGGGCTCCAAGACGGCCCCACCCCAAGAGCACCCGGGAGCGCTCCAATAGCGCCCCAAGAAGCGATCCCGGGGGCTCCCGAGGGGGTGCCCAAATTGACGCTCCCCTCTTGTTTGAGTAATGTCTTCCAAGATGGTTACACGAGCGCCCCTAAAGCTCCCAAGAGCGCCCAAGGGGGGACCCAAGAGGCGCCCAGACGGCCCCAAGAGGCGCCCAAGGGGCCTCCAACAGGCTCCCAAGAGACCCCCAAGAGGCCTCAAGAGGATCCCGGAAGCACCCAAGACGCTAAAAACTGCCCTGGGCTCGTCAAGATGCCCCCCAGACGCCCGAAAGGCCTTCAGGAGCTTTCCAAGAGTCATTTACTCCTCCTCCTCCTCCTCCTCCTCCTCCTCCTCCTCCTCCTCCCTCCTCCTCCTCCTCCTCCCTCCTCCTCCTCCTCCTCCTACTTCTCCCCCTCCTCCTCCTCCTCCTCCTCCTCCTCCTCCTCCTCCTCCTCCTCCTCCTCCTCCTCCTCTTCCTTCTCCTCCATCTCCCTCGAATGATAACGGCTGTCCCCCTCTTTGCTCCTACCCTTCCCTCACCGCCTCAACTCGACTGGGCGTCGGTTTTGGATTGACTGATGGGGATAAGCGAAGCGTCAAGAATTGGTTCGATGCGTGGGCCCCGAGGGTCTGGACCACTTCCCCAGGGACCGTTGTCTCGAGCTGCGCCGTTTTGGGACGGCCCCAGGGCCCAACGAGGGCCTCTGGTGGCCGAAAACATCGGAAAAAAACGCCCGCCCTACTCTTTTGGCCGGGGCGCCGGACCCCCTGGGTCTCTCAGGGCCCGATCCTTCTGCTGGCCAGACAGCCCGTCGAAGAGCGACATCGCGTCTAGGAGCGCCCGGTTCTCGGCGTACTGCCGCTGGGCGTTGTCCTCCCCCCGCCGGGCGGGCGAGCGGCGGGGGGCGGCGGGCGCGGAGGCCACCTGGGAACCCCGCGTGAGGTGGGGGGGCAAGTCCTGGGAGATCTTCGCCAGCGAGTGCAATGGAGGACAGCCCACAGGAAACCTTCCACAACAAAAAAAAAAACACCGGAGGCCCCAGGACGCCCAATGACTTTTGGTGCGGGAGCGTCCCGTTTTCCACAGCAGAGCCATCGAAACCCAAGAAGCTCAGGGCACCCTGGAGGCGAGCAGGGTGTTTCTTGGCCTGGGTTTCCACTGTAATGACGGCGCGCACGCGCGGGTAGGGGGGAGGGGGGAAAGCTTCTTTGAAGGGGCCCTGGGACACACAACTAGATTAGATACACACAAATCCAATGCTTCCCTATCTTTCCCCATATTTTCGGGGGGCTTCTGCCTTCCCCCCCGCTTCCCCCATTCTCCCACCATTCTTCGGAGGCATCCACGATGCATTGTGCCTGTGTGTGTCTTTTTCCCCTCCTGATTTCTTGGACGGAGGCTGCTGCCCAAGAGTTGAACAGGGACCGACCGTCCCGGCATTCCTATAGTCCTACCACGAAATGTTCTTAGAACCCCAAAAATGTTCTACTAATTACAAAACCAATGTTCTTAGAACATCAACCCGCTGTGATAAAACAAGACAGACTCCGCCAGAACGGTTCTGAGAACTTTTCGTGGAAACCACAAGAGGTTCTTAGAGCATTGCTTGGTAGGGCTATAGGCGAGCCAGGACGCGTCGCCACTGCTTGAAAGCGGCGCCCGCGGGCGGAGGGCTTCCTGGGAGGCCCCCGCCTGGGCGCTGCCCGGCACTGCGCCCGGCGTGCCCCCGGGCTCTCCCAGGGAGGAGCCCCGCGGCCTCCGGAGCGTCGTCGTCGTCGTCGTCGTCGACCTGCATGGGTTCCAGCTCGTTTTGGGGCCGCTCATGGAGTCGGAATCGTATGCGGACAGATCTCTTCTGGGGGTTGCCAGGGGGGAGCCCCCGCGAGACCCGCAAGGCCCAGGGGTTGCATGCTGCTCCGGTCGTAGAGAAGGGCTACGTTTGGGTCGGGCCTGCCCCCCTACAGGGGGATTTTGGACGACAGAAAAAATCTAAAAAAAAACTCGGAGGATGCCCCAAAATACTCAAAAAATAGTGCCCGGAGTATTTTTCTTTACTATTTTTGAATATTCCTCCTATAGAGGGACAGGCCCGACTTCAGGCTACGTCCCAGCAGCAGCAGCAGCCTCGAGCACCCAAGAGAGTACCGACGCCTCGTCGAGCGAGCATCGCCACCCAGGGCCCGGCACGTGGAAGCCTTCCACGCTCGGTACTTTTTCCTGGTGCTCGACACTCTCCCTGGTGATCAGGGTTCAAGCAGGTTGGAACATCAGAACCCAGGGGCCAACAACATCGAGCGAAGAGCTGGGCACCTTGGGCCCGGGGCAGGCACCTTCTGCAACCCCCGACCCTGTGGTGTCAGGAGGCAGCTGCTGGGAGGTCGTCGTCAGCGAACATTGGCGGCGCGCACAAGGGGGTCACTTCGAGGTTCGAGGTTCGGGGCTCGCTTGTTTAGAGATGCTTGATCCTCCGGGAGCGCCGTCGTTGCCACGGCCGGATCCGCCTCGAGATTCTCGGCCGAATGCACCCCAGGAGAGGTCCAGGGTCCGCCCTTTGACCCCCAAAGGCAGGCGGAACGCTAGTTGGCCGCGCGCACAAGCGGGCAGGGGAAGCTGTTTCTTAGAAGGCGCCGACCCTACACATCCACAGAGAAAAGGCGCGCCTTCGAAGAAGCAAGGGTGTTTCTAAAAAGCATTCCCCCCTCCCCCCCCTGCGCGCGTGACGAAGGCAACTCCTGGGAAACTTTCGTCAATGTTGAAGGTTATGAGACCGGATGACGCGCGAGAAAGCCAGATGAAACGGGAGTTACCCGGCCTTGGCCATCTCTCGACCAGGGATGTACCCTCGCCGATTCAGAATTCAATTTCCCAGGAGATACATCATAATATAGGGGTTCTCTTGGGAAGAGGACCTCGGATAGAGGAGGAGGCTCGCGCGCTCGCTCAACGTCGGCATGGGAATAATCCGCGCTCGTCTGAGGAGGAGGCGAGAGAACGATCTCAGCGTCTGTCCACGGGGCCGCTGTCAGTTATCGCTGGGCCACTTGGGGGCCTAGCGGGGATGCGTCGGCCTATGTCCCCCATACACTCACCCTGATGATGGAGCCACGGCCACAATCCAATTGCAGATTGAAGCGGCTCGCGGCTCACGGGGCCACTCGCAGGTGCTTCCTGCGCCGGGCTTTTGCAGTTATCCATGTGGATCATGCATCGCTGGGCAACGGCCAATGCGGGGCGAGTGAGAGCTGAGGGAGGAGGAGGAGGACCTCCTCCCCTCCCTGCCGGGGCCCAGGTTCGCGACGGCAGGATGCGGTGTGAGAGAACCGCCTGCACGCCGGCGCAGCTACACCATGGCGGCGCTTTCCGCCCCCGCGCAGCGGCCCTGCTCGCCCGCGGCGCGCCTGCCACTCTTCCTAGGGCTCCCAACTTCGCGCTTCGCGCTCCGCGAAGCGCGAATAACTTCGCGCTCTCGCACCGCCCCCCCCAAAGGGAGAAAAGGAGGACGAGGAGGACGGGGAGAAGGAACGAGGACTGCGAAGCGCGAATCACTTCGCGCCCTCGTGGGAGCCCCTGTCCTCCCACTCTGCCTCGGTGAGGGGGCTGTGACCCCCACAGGAAGGATCGTCGACGTGGGCCTTCGGCGCCCTCCCCACGCGCAAGTTCGCAAAGGGCCACTGCTGCCCTGGGCGGCCAGGGCCGTCGCCGCGGAGGCCTGCAGGGCGGCGCTGGGCGTGCTGGCCGCATCGCTGGCACCAGACCCACGTCGACGTCTTCCAGAGCCGGCGGCCGTTGGAGACAGCGCCCGCCGTTGTGAATACCGTGGGGTGGTTGGCGCCGACGTGCCCTCTGCAGCATGCGTCCTGCAACTCCTGCAGCGGCACGCGGCGGTGGCACCTCGCGCACTCTCACCAGCCACCGGGCCGACGCTGAAAATCGTGGGCCTGAGCTAGGTCGGGCACGAGCAGGATCTAGGGCCAGGCGCCCTGGCGAGCGTTCGGCAACTCCTCCTGGACATCAGGCCACCGGGAGAGCTCGTCCAAGACCAATGTGAACTCCGTCTGGAAGTTCAGCAAACCGTGGATCTTCTCCGTTGCTGCCTTGCAGGCCTCGCCGACATACTGAAGCATGACGGTAGTGTCGCATTCAGCGCCGCGGCCCGCGCGCTCGTGCTCCGCCTGGAGGCCTGGGCGGTGCGCCGCCGTTCACAGTCCGGCGACTCAATGCCCACCGTTAGAATTGCTACGATACATAAATGTAATGAACCAAATCGACTTCAATAAAGCAGATATTGCAATACTACAGATGTTGCCGCGGATAGGCAAAGTAACAGCAAATAAAATTGGAGTGATAGGCCTCCACTTTGCGGAACTGTACGCAGTTGGGGCCCGGGGCACAGCCCGATGTCCCGCAGCCTTGCCCATACCTGTCTCCACAGGTCTGCGTTCGGGCGGCGTGAGGCGGTGCACCACCGCTCACCGCGGTCACTCCATCAAGGACATACTGCCTGTCACCAAGCAGGATCAGCAGCGGGAGGGCATGCGCCAGGGCGCGCCCGATGGCCTGCAGTCCTGCGCGATCGGTGTTCTGGTGCAAGGGCAGGCTCTGAGACAGCGGACCACACATGGCCACTTGAACGACGGCTCTGGACGTCCGAACTGGGTATCGAAAAAATTGGCACAATGCCCAACAACAAGTGTTTTCCAAAACCAACAGCGGCCGCTGTTGGGCAGGCGGCCTTCTGTTTCAAATGGGCACAGGCCGCGGCGGCGTGGACAGCGAGTCCTGTTCAAAATGAACAGGAACTGCTGTTGGGGATTGTACCCGTTCTTTCCGTACCCATTTCGTTCGTGCGAAACGGCGCCCTCGGAATCCATCATTGCGGCTGCCCAGCCCCCCGGCCGAACCACTTCCGGTGCCTCTTCCAGCTGCCATCGGTGCCGACGTCCCCGGGGGAGCTCGTCGAGGACCTGGGCCTCGAAGGGGCGGGACGAGGGCGCCGTAGGGAAACGAAAAACGAGATGAACATAACAACTCGGAGGCCCATGCGGACTCCTCGGATCGGCGCTGGAACCCCCCTGGCGGCGCCTCTGGCGCCGCCCCTGGCGCGCTCCGCGCGCCAGGAAGGGGGGTCGAGCGCCGAGCGTGCGGGCAGCCTCGCGCCCGCCAGCTGCGCAGAGCCGGCACCGCGGCAGCATCGCGGCTCCCGCCTGCCAGGCCCTGCTCTACGCCCACGCCCGGGCAGGGACGGTCCGGGCGGCAGCAGACGCACCCGCGCAGCAACGGCGCTGCCAGCGACGGAACCACATCTGGATGGGCGTCAGCGAAAAGGGCGGGAGCAAGCGCCTCACGACCACTGTCCTCGGGGATCCAGGCCTCCCACTGCTGCAGCTCCGCGTCGCGCTCCACCATGGCCGATGGTGACGGCCACGTCCACCCCAGGCGACGAGCAGCCAGCACGCATGAGGAGGCTGGCCTCATCTGCGCTGACCTCTCCTCCTTCTTCATCCCTCTCCTTTGTCTCCTTTGGGAGGGGCACAGGCACAACCTCTCGAAGGTCTGCGCGGCTTTCTTGTTTCGACGCGGCGCCGGAGGCAACGCCACGCGGGTCCAACGCCGATCCAAGACATCTGCGCGGACCTCCGAAACACACATGTTATTCACCATATCCTAAGGATGTGGATATTGATATTATTTTGACCGCGCGGAGAACGAGAACACACACACACACACCTCCCACCCTCAGGCCATCATTCTCTGACTCATTCACGTGTAGACTCACTCATATTCAGACTTACCCGTACTCAGATGCACTCGCTTTTAGATTCTTGATACTCAGGTTTCTCATGCTCGGGATCACTCAGACGCAGATTCACTCATACTCCTGGTATTTCCGCGCTAAGACTCACACACACGTTTTGAGGATGTCTCAGGCGAGGCGCTGGTTTCAGTACTCCCAGGGGGGGGCGCCAGGGGGTACATCACAGGCCCGTTCGCGCCCAGATTGGGGGGACGTCTCAGGCGGTTTGCCTGTTTCGGTGCCCAACATCCTTCTCTGTCGGAGCAGTTCCCGAGGATGTCTCAGGCGAGGCGCTGGTTTCGGCACACCCAAGGGGAGCCGCCAGGGGGTATATCACGGGCCCGTTCGCGCCCAGATTGGGGGGGGTGTCTCAGGCGGTTTGCCTGTTTCGGTGCCCAACATCCTTCTCTTACGGAGCAGGTTCCGAGGATGGTTCAGGCGAGGCGCTGGTTGCAGCACTCCCAAAGGGGGGCGCCAGGGGGTATATCACGGGCCCGTTCGCGCCCAGATTGGAGGGGTGTCTCAGGCGGTTCGCCTGTTTCGGTACTCAACATCCTTCTCTTTCGGAGCAGTTCCCGAGGATGTCTCAGGCGAGGCGCTGGCTTCAGCACTCCCAAGGGGGGGGCGCCAGGTGGTATACCAGGGCCCGTTCGCGCCCAGATTGGGGGGGGGTCTCTGTCGGTGTGCCTGTTTCGGTGCCCAATATCCTTCTCTGTCGGAGCAGTTTTCGAGGATGCCTCAGGCGAGGCGCTGGTCTCAGCACTCCCAAGGGGGGGCCTCCAGGGGGTATATCACGGGCCCGTTCGCGCCCAGATTGGGGGGATGTCCCGGGCAGTTTGCCTTTTCTTGTGCTCAGCATCCTTCTCTTTCGCAGCAGTTTTCGGCGCCCTGACAGGTGTTCAGAAGAGGAGGAGGACAAGGAGGAGGAGGAGGAGAACAGAACGAGGAAGCAACTAGTTAAATTCGTCGTAGTCGTCGGCGTCTCTCACCCTTCGTCTTCCACACGAATTCGCTGACACTCAGATATTGAAAAGAACAATGCCTTCTACCGAAGCATGACATCACTAGGATATGCACATATGGAGATACCCGCGTCGAGTAATTATCAGTCTGATGGTTTCCAGCGTCATTGTTATTACTACTACTATTATTCGTATTGCTATTGCTCCTAGATGACTCTGCTATGCCACGGTGGCTGCAGTCCTCTTGCCCTGCCCTTGCCAGGAGGCGCACATACAACGGCAAGTATGTCGAATGACACCAACTCAACGAAAACTCCTTTGGAGTGCAAATGGGGTCGTGCGTAGCCTCGGGAAATTCCCAGGACGAGAACTGCACTGCCTGCCTCACCGTTTGGATGGCGTGAGCCAGATCCCGAATGTCCCTTGTGACACCGTCTGCGACACTGTCTGTGGCGAGGAGCGGGGGGGGGGGGCAGGGAGCCCCAAAATCACGCACGCGTCCAACTATATTCGAACGATTGTCTTTACGTACCGAGGCCGCCGTCATGTCACGAGCGTTCGCGCAATGCGCTTGGGTAGCTCTCAAGGAGCTCATGGGGGGCTCCAACGATGAATATGTGTAAGGAGTAGAAGGAGGCGTGGGGAGGAGTGAAGAGAAGGAGGATTATGAGGAAGAGCTCTCCACACATCTTCCTCGCCCATTCGTCCCCCGTCCCCTCCCTTCGTCACTCACCTCTCTCTCTTCCCACTCCCCCAATCCCTGCCATGGGCGGCCAAATCGGAAACCGACCGAACCGATAGCAGAAGCCGATTGAAACCGAAGCACTGGACGCAGCACGGATGGCTGCAGGGGCGCAATAACCGACCGAACCGACCGAATGCAGCTGACTGCGAGGCAGCCAAACCGACCGAACAACAACCTTACCCTGCTACTCTCCCAGCCTGTCCCCTCCTGCAAGACTTGCTTGAAGATGCCACCGTCCGCGCCCCAGCAACCAGACCTGTCTCCGCACCCACAGGGTCGTCTTCGGGTCGTCGCCGTGGCGGTCGTCGTCGTCATCGTCGACGTCGCGGTCGTGCTTGTTGTGAAAAAGGAGGAGGGGATCGGGGATGTGGGAGAAAAGAGAAATGAGGAGGAGGAGCAGGCGGAGGAGGATACAGAGGGGGAGGAGGAGGAACGAGTCAAGACGAAGCCAGGACGAGGATAACATCGGGAAAGGATGAATCGAGAATCTCTGAGATCTGGCTGCTCTGGAGGATGTCTTGGGCGCCGCGGCCTTCTCAGAGCGTTCCAGAACGCTCTGAGAGCGTCCCCGAACGCTCTGGAATGGATCTATCCTCGTCCTAGCCCCGCCCGACGAGTAGGGGAGGGGAAGGGAGAGGGCGGACGGAACGGTGGGATGGAAAGGGAGGCGCAGCAAGAGGACAATTTGTCGGAGGCTCTGGATGCTTGCAATGGTGTCTGGAGTTGAGGAGCCGGGGGGGGAGGGAAGGAACATGATGTCGACGCTTTTGGCATTTGCAAGGTTTGGGGAGATTTCCGTTGGCTTTCTGGGGGTGGGGTGGGGGGGTCTGGAAGGAGTCCTCCGATGCTCCCGAAGTTATCTGGAAGGCTGCCGAGGTTGAGGAGGAGGAGGAGGAGGAAGAGGAGGGAGAGAAGGGAGAGGATTGAGGGGAAGCGGGAAGGTTTCTCAAAGGTTCTAGGATATTCTAGAAGCACGAGAAGGATGCGGACGAAGAGAAGAACGGGAGGAGGATGAACAGCAGCAGCGGCCAGCAGGAATGCTGAGCAAGGAGATCAGGATGGAGGTGGAGGAGGAACGGCAAGAGGAAGCTGCGGAACATGGGGAGATGGAAAGAGGACGTGGAGCAGGAGAACAGGACAGGAGGAGGAGGAGGAGGAGGAGGAGGAGGAGGAGGAAGAGAGGCCAGGTGCGGAGGAAGAAGGCCAGGCGGAACACCATGGAGCCCTGACAGCAGCAGGTGCAGAAGGCGTAGCGGGAGGATGACCAGCAGCAAAGGTGGCGGACCTCTTCTCCCCCTCCTCCTCGTTGCTTTTCCCCCCCTTCCTCCTCCTCCTCCTCCTCCTCCTCCTCCTCCTCCTCCTCCTCCTCCTCCTCCGCCACGTCCCGTTGCGTTGCATCCTGCTCCTCATGTTTATGAAGCCCTGCATTCTCTGCAATGTCCTCCTCTTAGTCATCGTCCCCCTCCTCCCACGGCGACCGCTTGCCACCTCCAGCTGTCGAACCGCATCTCCTCCCGCTCGCCCCCCCCCCCCCTGCTCCCACAGCCCCTCCTCTACATCTCCTCCTCCTCCTCCTCCACCTCCTCCTCCTTGCTCCACCACCTTCCATCACCCATCCCCTCCCCTCCCCTCCCCTCCTCCCTTGTCCCTCCTCCCCCTGATCATCTCGGCGGCGAGCGAGGGGGGGAAATGAGAAGGAGAAGGCCTTCTCAAAGGCGGCGGGACTTCTCAGAAACCCTCGCGCCTTCTGAGCCGTTTTTTCTGTCTTCGGGGAAGGCTTAGAAAACGTCTCAGAAGGCCAGGGAACTTCCGAACCTTCTGAGAAGGCCTTCTCCTTCTCACTTCCCCCCCCCCTCGCTTGTTGCCGATCCTCATCGCCGTCGCCGTCGTGGTCGTCGCGTGCGCTGCCGCTGCACCACCACAAACCCGACCCCTGGACCTGCACGACATCCAGGACGAGGCGCCGCCCCCTACCGAAAACACTTCGGGTCGTCGTCGTCGTCGTCGTCGTCGTCGTCGTCGTCGTCGTCGTCGTCGTCGTCGTCAACGTCGTGTCGTCGTCGTCGTCGTCGTCGTCGACGTCGTCGACGTCGTCGACGTCATCGTCATCGTCGTCAACGTCGTTTCGTCGTTGTCGTCGCCGTCGTCGTCGACGTCGTCGTCGTTTCGTCGTCGACAACTGCGTTTCGTCGTCGTCGTCGGCGCCCGCCGCCGCGCCTCTCGATCGCCGTGACGCTGGCAGTGCGGGGGCACTTGTACAGCAACGCCAGGCCACCTCGAGCCCGCCCCGCGGGGGCGGGAGGCCCTCCAGGAGGTCGGGGCGGCGTCGTCGTCGCAGCCGCCACCGTCGTCGAAGACCGGGGATGCCGCCCTGCGGTTCGCAGGAGACGGTCTGGGCCCACCTTGCTGCTGACAGGAAGGGAAGCGAGAGAGAGAAAGAGAGAGAGGGGGGTGGGAGGGGCACAAGTAACTAGGAACTCTAGCCACAGCTGTACCACCGCTCCGTCGCTGCTGACACACCGAGAGATGCACCGAAGCAGCTGCAGCTCGGTCTGAGCCGAAGAGTCGCCCCCGTAACCACCACCGTGGCACAGGCTGCACTTACCGAGACGAGGCCACAGCTTATCCCTGCCCCTGGTCTCGCGCTCGCCCCCCCCCTCTCTCCTCCCCCTGGTGGGCGCCAGCGCTCCCGCTCGGACGCGGCACGTGGTCTGCACTTGCCCATGGTGGGGATAACACAGAAAGATATGAAACTGATAAGGAACTGCGGCAGGTGCGCGTCGCGTCGACCCGGCGTCGGTGCCTGACACCGCGGGGATCGTTCAACCTTGATCGATCGGCCGTTTGCGAAACGCCCAAATCGTTCCACATCGAACGATTCCGGGTCGCCCGCGGCGTTCAACGGAGGAGAAAGAACAGAGACTATGGAAGGAGAAAGATCGGGGGAAAAGAAACCTACCTCGTTTTTGACCACCCTCGCTTCCTCGAGATACCAAACGATGCCCAATTGCGGCCTGTACTGGTCAGGCCGCTCGACGAGGAGGCGCGTGGTGTGGCTTGGCTTTTTTTCCTGGAAGCGAACGCGGGGTAGGTAATTCACGCTCTGACAAAGAGGGACAATCATAGGGGGTAAGAAAGGCACTCCAGATTTTGTCATAAAGGGAGGGGGGTCTCATTTCGGGGGGGGTCTCTTCCAGGCAATCCTGGAGGGCCTGGGGGCTCTGGGGACGACGTCTTGGAGGGTTCTCCCACGGGGGAGGTCTGAAATGGCTTGTCTTGGAGGGCCCAGACCCCCTCCCTTTTCTTACGAAATCTGGGGGAAGCTACGAAGGAGAAGGACGGAATCATGCGAGCGGGGACCCCCTGGCCTAGGGCGACGACATCTATACATATCCACTGCTCCCGGCCAGGCCAATCCTGGGCCCAAGAGCTGTGTATACGCCCTCCTGGCTTGGCCAGGGAGGCATATACACCGCTCCTGGGCCCAGGATGGGCCTGGCCAGGAGCAGTGGATATGCATAGATCTCGTCGCCCTAATGGCCCCCAGAGGCGCGCGCCCCCGCCTCTCTCCGAGGCCCCCCCTGGGCCCTCGGCGCCCCCGCGGGGGCTCTCTCCGAGGCTCCTCCTGTAACCTGCAGTGCTCGGGAGCCCCCCCGGCGACCGCGGGGCCTCCTGGGCTCTCCCCGGGGCTCCGCGCCTCCTCTTTGTCGCTCCGCCTCCTCCCACCCTCCCTCGCCCTGCGGACACACAACCACGGCCTCAGCCTCCCACTGGAGCGTCCTCGGGGGATCATCTTCTGACCCGGGTCCGACCCAGGCCAGGGTCAGTCAGGAGCTGCAGGATCCCGCAGGATCCTGCGCCCCAGCCCGGGTCCATGCGAGGGATCCGGTAAGATCCTGCAGGATCCTGCGCCCAAACCCGGGTCGATGCGACCCTGGCCTCTGCAGGATCCTGCAAGACCGGGCGCTCTGGCTGACCCCCGATTGCACTGACCCCCGTCTCACGGCTCCCGAACATCCTGTCCCAGGCACTTCGCCGGCAGTGCTCCCGCGGTCCGAGGCCAACGGTCGGCCTGATGATGCAGGGGGAGGGGGCCTCTCTCCCTCAGCCGGGCCTCGCCGGGTGCCGCCCCTGCCCCCGAGCGTAGCTCGCATGCAGCGTCTCGCCGAGTCGGTGGCTCGAATTACGTAGTTCCCGTCCTACTTCAGGACCACATCCCAGAAATCGTGTCGAGCACCCGGAAAAGTGTCAAAAGAGTGTCGAAACACTGTCGAAACGGTGTCGGGCGAGTGTCTCCCAGGGCCCGACACGTGAAAACCCTTGTGTTTCGTTTGGCGCTCGAAATTCTTTCTGGCGGTCAAAGCTAAAGTAGGTTGGAGCATCATAAGGCTCGAGGTCTGCTTCGCTTCGAAACCCCTCGCCTCGTTCTGTGCCTCCCTCGCGTCCGGCACATTTTTCTAGATACGCATCATTCTTCACCGTGGTTACCCCCTCATTTCCCCTCCTCCGCCTTCGCCTGGTCCTCCTGCTCGCCCCTTCCTCTCCTTCTACTCCAATTCATGTTGCTGCTGTTCGTTCTCGTCCTCATCCTGATTCATCCTCGTTTTTTCCTCCTGCTCGTCCTCCAATTCACACACCACCTCCTCATTCTCCTCTTCCGTCCATGTAATCAGCCCCCCCTCTCCCGATTGGGCAAAGCAAGGTGCGGGGCTTTTTAGAGGTCGAAGTCGGCTATGACACGCGTCCGCGGACAGAAGACTAACAATGCAACCGGAAGGGACTGGAAGGATGGGATGGAATGTCAAATGTTGAATGATCGCGCCTAACTTCAGGTCGGGCACGTCCCCCATACAGGCGGATGTTGGGAGAAAAATTAAGCGTAGTCCAAAAGTGCTCAAAAATAGTCAAAAAGCGTCCCCAGACTATTGTTTGATTATTTTTGAACACTCCTCCTGTAGAGGGACGCCTGGCGCAAGCCGAACTTGTCCTCTCTCACTGTTGTCGTCCCGGCCTCCTCCTCCGCCCTCCTCGCCCTCCCGCCCTCCTCCCTCCCTCCTCCCCGACTTCTCCCCCGCGCCACCCTCCCCTCCCTCCCCCCCCTTTCCCGCCTTCCCTCCCTCCTCCCTCCCTCCCTCCCTACCTCCCCCCCCCCCATCCCTCTTCCCAGACTCCTCCCTCCCTCCCTCCTTTTCCCTCCTTCCCTCTCCCTCCTCGCTTTCCACTCCTGGTCCTCCCCCCCCTCCGCCCCCCCCCCGC